CAGGGCTTGCATGGCTTTTCACTACGATGGTACCGGTTGGTAGAATCAGCACACCAAATGCGCCATCACCAGCTCAACCATGACGCCCCTGCTGCGGTGGGAATCTGAAGTGCGCAGTTCAACCTGGACAGGACAGCGACGGCTCAGCCATCGGAACGGAGCAGGCGAAGTCCACAATATGGACAAAATGGAATCATTGGAATCTTGCTGCTGCATGACCTGGAGAGAGAGAGTCTGGCGTGCAAGTAGGTCAACTTATTGCACGATATGATTTCCCGTAGCTGCTGCCTGGGCTTGAATTTCCGACTGGCGCTGCTACCATGCATACTTTGCTAGAGTTGGGTTCGTAAGGGCATCAGACGTGCCTTATGCGTATCTTCAAGACTTGCCAAAAGGCAAGAGGTGTGAAACGCCAGAAGGTCTTGTGCAGGAGCACTCCTCTAGAGCTCCCCTGCTAGCAATTACATGCTTGAGCCCGACACAGGATGTTGCCGTCATCGAGATTCCGTCCGACCCGGAGACGCCGGCGACTTCACAGCAAACCCAGCACTACCGTGTTTAGTGTTATGTTCGTAGGTCTAAGAAAAATGAGATGTTCTGTCTAACTATGAGACAGAACAGCAACATCTCGGCGAGCTGTATGTCCTCTCCGTGGCGTACCATTGTTTTGTCTATGCATCAATGGAGTTGAAGAGCGCAGGTGGCCAAGAAGAGGCCAAGTCACGTGCAGGAAACCCCGCCTCCAGTTCCAGCCAGGCAGCTCGGGCTGCACGGCTTTTGCATGGAGGGGCAAACATGGATTTCAAGTTGGTGGGCGGGGTATGATCTGGGCTATGTGTTCATGTAAGTAATTGAATGTAGCCAGCTGGCTACCCCTTCAGGGTGCACACAATGAACGGAAAGAAGGCTTCATACCACTGTTCGAAGAAAACGGGCCAGGAACATGCTTGTCTGTATGCCTTGCTGTCTGACATTACGACCGAAATACCTGTGCTTGCAAAGCGCCAGCCGCTTCGCTTGCTGCAAGCTGCTTGCAGCAGAGGCCGTCGATACTGAATTTCTCCGTGGGGACAGAGGAATCTCAACTGCAAGCACAAAAGCATAGCAACAATGGCGGCCTAATGAGTGGGACTGATGCAGTCAGACGGTCTGCATTCTCAGCCGTGTGGGCAACTGTCGTTGAGATTCAAGGTGCTGGTTCCACGAAGCCGTCAGGCAAGTTTACTGCTGTGGGCAAAGTCGAGTGATGGCGCCTCGAAGAGGCGCCGTGAGGGAGATCGATCATCGGGCTCCTCAAAGATCAGTTTACCATCAGACGGTTTTAGAGCTAGGACTGAACCCTTCGCTGTGGATGCGCTGACCTCAAGAAGGATCGTCATAGTCAGAATCACCAAGCTCCAAACACTTCCGTACTTGCTGCCCTGATTACACGAGGCCCCGCCGGATCACCACCCAGGAAGCTGTGGCGCGCCGCCGCGAACGCCGTGAGCGGAATGCAGACTTGAGGAGCCTTTGGAGTCAGAGCGTACCCATAGACGCTTGTGCACTGCACAGTCGCTTTGGGATGGATTGATACATAACTGAAAACCTGTTGGTTAAAGGGGCAATCCAAAGTAAACGCGTCCCTGGACATGGCTGAAGGTGTCCGATGAAGGGTTCGGGCCCAGTTTAGGGCTTACATAGGCTATGTCTGTTGACGATGCCGCTTGTGGGGATTTAGAAAGTCAGGGCTAAGAGTGGATTTATGGTTGAGGGTCATGCAATTTGTGCCTTTTTCTGTGAGTTCTCATGTTTGAGGGATTGGCATTGGGTCACACCCACCCCAGCAAACCATCAGGCTTGTGGGTCCTTGTGGGTGCAGCGACTGACTGCTGTATGTGCTTTGGCCTGTTGAACTTGGTCACTTGGTCCTGCTTCTCCGGCAGATCCGGAGACCGTCCGCTGCCGCCTCCTGTGGTTGGCTACGATGTGAGCCTTGAGCGCCTTTGCGTGAAGACTGAGGCGCCACGGTGATGACTAAGGGGTTTGAGAGATTGGAACGTCGGGTGCGACAGGGGGCTGCTACGAAGCAGTATGGTGGTTCGATGGTTTGCACCACGTCCCTTGGAGCCCTGCAGCTCGAACCCAAACAATCCCAAACATTCACTCTACTGGTCAAATTAGAGGTGGATGGCCTGGACGTCCATTTCCCGGTGGCACCCTTGGATGCACAGCACGTGGTCATGGCGACAGCTGTACGCGCCATGTCCGAGCGTCGCGTGGCATTCGTGGAGAGCCCGACAGGCATGGGGGTGCGTGCGTTCACAATATTGCAGCATGCCAGCCAGCTTTCGAGCCAGCCGCGTCAGTAAATTCACGTATACCTACGGTTATCACACATGGCTTTGATGCCGGTCAAGAATTTAAGAAGTTCTGGGCACCTCGCAGAGGCACCGGCAAGACACTGGCTTTGCTTGCAGCAAGCCTGGCCTATCAGCATTCCTGCCAGAAGAAGTGGACGGAGGCCTTGCATGCCCAGGGCTGCGCGGGGGTGAGGTTCAAAGATACGAGCGTACGCGTTGTCATTTTTTCCACAGGCCACAGATGACCATCATTTGGGTCCATGTGACGTGCCTGCGGCTTTGCTGCCCCGAGGCTGGAAACATGCTGCCTCCAGCACCTGCGAGCAAGGTGCCACCTTCCAAAGCTGACAGTCAGGCAGGGGTCGAAGTATTTGAGGCATGCTTGAACAGTGTCGGTCCGGAGAAGCCGCAGTCATAATTCGGTCAGACGGCTATACAGCATCATACAGCATAGGTTTAGAGCTATACATCATGTCGCGGAATTTTTGCGCAAATCGTACTCAAGACCGAAGCTCCGGCTGCAGGCACCACTTTGGACTGGCAGTGGTCTCCCTACAAACTGCAACGGAGACCTGCGGCCTGGCTTCTCAGCTCCGCATGTGCGGTAATTACACTACATATGAATATGGGGTTCAACATTGTGGGAGAGACCGACGTACTTTCGAGTTTAAAGCATCGCAGGCTCAGGGACCCTGTGTCTATATCAGTCCAAACGATTTACAGCTTTTCCCAACCAAGCTATGCATGAGTGCATGTGGGGCTCCGGACACACCAACGGAACGCATTGTCCCCAAGGCAGGTGCACCTCGATGATGTCCTTGAACCTTTTTGGGCGGGCCGAGTTGGTGGTGGGATGAATTTGTTAAGGGTGGAAAAGGGATGCTTCGGCTCATTTAGCGGAACATGTCCTGAAAGGAAAGTGCCCCGCGTTGTCTGGATAGCCCGGACGCACGATCAGAAGCTTGCCTGCCAACTTGTATTTTGCGACAGCTTCGATGCGAAGTGCTTAAGCTTGACTTCGGAACGGGGACGTTGTTTAATTTCGTGCGGTCTGAATTCTCTTCAGAGTTGGAAGCTTGGGGGCCGAAGTGTACGTGAGGTGCTACGCACCAAGCTTCTGCACACAGACCTTTTGCATTTGTACACAAGTACCCGCAAAGGACAGCGCTTCAACCATCCAACGAAGCCAAACTTAAACTTCGCCTTTGGCTCCTGAAGTCAGACTTCGCAACTGATCCATAAAGTGCCAGGTAGGGTGTTTGGCCCTATGCAAGCCATTCCACAGATCTGTCGATGCTGCTTGCCCAGGCTGCAGCATGCGGTGGCGGAGCTCAGGACACACAGTTTTCAGTTCTGTGACGTGCCTCCTCCTCCCCTCCCCCTGCTGCTACTATAAGCCTTGCGAAATCACTTCACCATCTTACGCCAGGCCACGGGGCTCGTAGAGCTTTTAGTCCAAAGCCTTTAAAGCTTGAAGATCATGGAAGCCATTTTTGAAGCGTTGAACACCCTGTGAGTGAATGATCGCCCTCGCAGGTCTTCAGGCGAGAGGTTTGTGCTTTGGGTTTTTCGTCGCAGGAGACTGCCCTACCGTCCGCTGGAGGCGCTTCGTGCCTGGGCTTCTATGACGCAGCAGCGAGGTATACAGGTAGAAGATCACGTAAACGATGAAGCAGTGTATTCCTACAGACTGGAAGCAGCTCGCGTTTCTGGCAGCCATACAGGCATTCAAGTGTGGTCAGCCGAGAGCAGCTTTGCTATGCTTTGCTCTGTCATGCTGTCAGGCTAGGGCAGGCATGGTGCAGCAGAAATAAACATGCAGAGAGCCGCTCAAATCATTTCTCGGCTCAGGCCGGAGGAATGTTTGTCAGGTCCGAGATTCCATTCCTTTTTTGGCCTTGTGATGGCTTTCATTCTGC